CCTTGAAAAAAGTGGTAACTTAAATGATTTGAAACCCTACCTTTTGGTGAGAAATGAGTAAGAGATCTCACCATCGAGCTCTACCACCAAGGGATCAGGCCATTCTCGTATAAGACATTAGATTTGGTAAACATAATGAGCAACTAGATGATTCACTGGCAGGGTGGCAATGGCCGGGCTAGAGCCCTGTCCCTGGCCCCCATAGGGCCGGCCCAAGCCCCTATCCCTGGCCCAAGACTAGACCGTAAACAAATAAAACAACATGAAAAAAAAAGAAGAAGTCGGCCGAGCCAAGCCAGGCCTGGCCCTAGCCCGACCCTTCATTTTAAACCAGCAAAAAAGAAAAGTCATACCTTAGATTGGCGAAGATCGACCAAAGCTTTATAGCGGCCAACTGAAGCCATGCTTCCCAAGTGCTTGTAAACAAAAGGGTCACCCATAGACACTTTCCTTGCGCAGAAAGCCTTGCCACCATTTTGTTTTCCAATATTATTTAACAGTGCAGCTAGATATTTCCCTTCCCTCTCAGCCACCTATAAACGCCACAAATTTTAAAGCAAAAGAAATCCATCTCTAGTCAAATTCCATACAACTCAAGAAAAAACAGTAAATTGGGTTCGATAGCTTCAATCAGCATTAAGGGCAAAGTACCACAACAAAATTTTAATGGGCGATTCGAATCAAAAAAGGAAAGTGCAAACATCCATATTAAGTCTCTGTCTCAACCTGAGCTAGAGCTGGAAGTGTTTGTTTTCCAGTATGTTCTAGAAATCCAGCACAGTCACCAAGTGCATATACATCGTCGACAGAAGGAACTCGCAACCACTCGTCCACGCCAATTCTAAATTGAAGCAAATACACGTTTTAGAAATGAAATTAGAATGATGGTACTTTTATGTGAAACTAACTACAAAAAAGATGATAAAAACACATACGAAATTTATGTGAAGTTACCTTCCACCAGGGGCCTTTGGAAGATCAAGCGATTTTATGAATGATGAAGGCCCAACGCCTGTCGACCAGACAAGAAGGCCATAGGGAACTTCGGTCCCATCGTTAAGAATTATTTTCTTTGGCTGCACATCTTTTACAATGCCACGTAGAAGATGAACACCAGACTGATACAAGTTCAAAATTTGTCAGTATTCATCAAACACAGGGTCCCCTACAACACCCAAATGCATACAACTAAATACGATCTTTATTTCAATGATAATAGATGTGAATAATTCCATATGAGACGTCTTCTGCTAAGAAAATAAGGTGTTCCATCCTAAATTCGAATAGTTCATACTTGGTTTTTTTTTCTTTTCAGGTTCACATCTCCTTATGGCCATGTTTTATCAATGAAGAAAAATGTCTTAATACACCTTTTCCTCCCTGGGAATTTCCTTTTCTAATGCTTGCTTCCAATGACATCATTGTTCTTTGGTTCTCCTATTTGTAATTTATTTCCCTTTCTTCTAAATGAAATAATGCAGCAGGAACTAATCATACCGAGTTATCATCCCATTGTCATACCTTAGTCAGGTGCCTGATTGCATATTGCCTAAGTCCAACATCAAATGATGACAAAATTTCATTTGCCTGTTCATTTAAGAGAATCCATTAGTTCATAATTCACTCGTGGATAGTATTAACAACCCAACGAACCATGCCATATGGTATTCCAAGCCACATCTACCATGTGCTTCCACAGATAAATGGTACGAGGATAATGCACTCAACATTGTCCCTACAGGCTCTCCATTTGAAGCAATCTTCAACCACCATCAGTGTAGATGGACCTTGCTTCTGGGATAAGAGTACCATATAAAGTAAGTAAATTGCAGTGATGAACATTTGTTTGAGAACTCACCTCAATCAATGTCACATGGATGTAGTCTTTTACATGAGAAAACCTGTCCTTTACATCTCTCATTATGAAATCACTCAATTCACCACTGAACTCCACACCAGTTGGGCCTCCTCCAACCACAACACAGTGTAAAAGGCGTTTCTTTTCATCTTCTGATACTCCTGCCATTGCATCAAAAGTAACATCATTAACAGGGCATATTTTCTTGGTGTTTGATATTTGTACATTTATATGATCTAGAATCGACCATAGTGATGAACTTATTTCCAGAGGTTTTCGAGTAATTTCATTAAAACTCTACTTGAATCATCACATTGGACTCCTAAAGATAATTTTCACACATGTCCAATGTGCTTATTCATATATGTAAGGGAAAAGTTCATATAGAGCCGAGGCTCTAAACAATCAAATTCGAGCCTACCTCAAAAATTTCACTAGAAGATGTTGTTTTGATGCCCAAATATCCTCAAATTGATCATCTCGACAAAGATATATGAACATGAGAAAAAAATAGATTTCAAGTTTTGAAAATAGTGTATTTTGTAACGTATTTTTGGACCATCAATTTTCAAGTTTTTATAGATCTCTCAATCTACACTATTTTTGAAGCTTTAAACTTTATAAATAAAGATGAAAATATATTTTAAGGCTATCAAAAGAATTTCCAACATTGAAACCACATTCTCGGCACGATTTGAAGGTAGGCTCTAATTTGATTGTTTAGAGCCTAGGCTCTATACAAACCACACCCTATATCACACCCTATATGTAAAGGCCAACCAAATTGTTTATAAATTACTCAAACAAACATTCAAAACTAAAAGAATTCAACTCATAATGAAATGTATGCCACTTTCTCTTGATTCCAATGATATCCTATGTAAGGGATACAGGGACATCGACTTCCATATACATTTCATGAATCACAATGAATTTAAATGCCATTTATGTAACTTCAGTGATATCATATGCATAGTATACAATGACACTGCAAGAATCATGTAAATGGAAGAATCACGACAAATGGGAAAATCAGGAATTTAATCAACTACTTCTGCTGCCTTTCACATTTTAATGATCATTAAGAAGAATAAATTCATAAATATATCATGAAATGCTACAATGAACCCACCCTTTGTTTGATTAATTAGCTGACTTTTGTTCATGTTGGCATTCCATAACCGAGACCTGATGTTGAAAATCAATGGCTCAAAAATATTCCCCTCTCTAATTCTAAATGCGAACTACTTAAAGAGAGTTTTTCTGATATATCACTTCCAGCTGAAGCTCATTCCTTAATGGAAGTATGTGCACACGTTTTCTACTATGATATGAATGGGTAAGCTCTGCTAATAGAAAGAGATGTGATAATAGAAAGAGATAGAAAGAGATGTGTCTCAGCAGTTAAGCCAATGAGGAAATCATGCACCCAAAATGTGAATGTGCATATATGCACAATTATACAGTCATATTCATGTAACTCTTAATAATATTCTATTCCAATTTAAATATGTTGATACTCTTTCGGTAAGCCCACTAGGAACATGCAGATTATCTGACATACCAAAGATGCAAGACTGAGATTTTCAACCTCCCCATGTCAGCTTTGAGTTCTTTAGGTTCGAAAACATGGCAAACAAGAAATGGCAGACTAAGTTTGAGATTAATTCTCGATGTATGATACTTTTATGAACCCTACAAACACCACTTATGCAATTTTCAGTTTAGTTCCTCATTTGTATTCTTGGGACACCTAAAAATTCAGATGGTATTCCTTCCACTTTTAATTTCACAATGAACATTCAAATGCATAGACATGATATCAAAATGCAAATGAAAATAGCGATTGATCAGTTGCCATTTTGGTGCAAGAATTGGTATGTAAGGGCAGAAACACTGTTGTCCAATGTTACTACCTTACTACTAACAACAATTTTTATTTCTACTTTTTAGTGTTTTACCCCAGAAAAGAATTATAAATATAGCGATGGGAGTATCACTTCAACAAGCCAGAATATCGAGGACAACAATAATATCATTAGAACAGAGGGAAAAGTTATAACAATTATACTATATATAAGCAAAGAGATAAGTTGCCATACCCATATTTGGGATCAACCAACCATTCTAATTCAGGATAATTACAGGCATGATTGTTTCTATTCAAACTGAACATAGAGAGTTTCCATAGCCATCTTTGGGAATGCATAGCTCAAGCCACCAACTGAGAACATTTGTACCTTAAAGCTGCATGTTAAATGTCTAAAATTGTATGCTGCTGCATTAAAGACCCTGAAGAAACGGTACCTTTAAAACCACATTTCCACAGTCAGACTCATCTCTCAATTAATTTTAGTCATTGTGAATCACCGGAATCACATGGTACGGTGACTGGTAACAGTGCTCTGCGTTTTTCTTGTACATCCTTTGGATATGGAACTAAAACAGACATCAGGATGTTCCATCTTAGTCTCATTTCTATCAGTGGATTCATAATCATCTTTGCAGTTTCATGGTACTAGTCGAGATTGCTTATTTCAGTATCTCAATACAGGGAAATGAACTCCGTGTAGACGTATAAACATGGTCGCATCACACAAAAATACCCAAATTTCACTGGGTCAATAAATATTCCTTATGCCTGCAAAACCCAGAGAACTTGCTCTTTCAAGACTGCTATTTGCAAAATTATAGGTGGAAGTTGGAACTTAACCAAGCATATGGCACAACCTGGTGTTATATCTCGAATACCAAATCCTTACTACATGGATCATAAATGTTTAATAGAGTTATACATTCAAAAACTTTCAATTCCTCATAAGTGTGATATTTTCCAAAAAGAAATGATGCAGTAGCATTGAAATCCAAAATCTATACTTGGGAAATCTCATGGAGGATAAACAAAGGGAAAAGAAATATCATCAATGAAAGTAGAGTAATCACTAACCAGGATTTTCAGAGAGCATCAAATTCAGGAGAAGCCTTTTTCGAATTTCTTGAGCATGATGCACTTCACGAAGAAAGAATGCATGCTCGTACACTCCATTGACGTTGAAAGTTAGTGGCTCAGCCCCAGCTCCAATAACAAGTTTATCATACGCAACTCTGAAGCGATATGCGTTATTCGGCAATCCATTATCGCAGACAGTCTCACAGTGAACCTGACATAGAGAGGAAATTTATTAGAGATATATTTGGTTTATGCAGCATAGAAAAACAACTCCATTAATCAGTAAATTAAGAGCTTCAATTATTCAGGAATGTGCCATAACTTTATAGACCACGCTTAAGGTAAACCATGTTTTTCATGTAGGGTTCTCGTGAACCCCTAAGCTTGCGGAACCGGGAATCTCAAACACGGGATCCCACTCAAGATCGCGTACATGATTGACTAAATACAAAGTACATGAATACCACAATAAATCAAGTGCGAGAAATAAAGCAAACATAAAAAACACACCACAACAACACACGATTTACGTGATTTACCCTGTAAAGCTACATCCACGGCCTCGGCAACTAGAAATCCACTATCACAATGAAGATTACAGTTTTGGGTTACAAGAGATAATACCTATTTCTAAACATCGGTAAAAGATCATCATTGATCTTTCCTTCTAAACCTCCCAACCGAGCAATACCATCGATCAACATCCACTTTCCCCCAACAATACCGCTACTAGAAAGATAACGTCAAGAGCAATATAGAGATTTTCTCTCTCTAGAAGTGAAAGTTAATCAACCCAAAACTCATGGGAATATTGCCCCCCTCTCAGAGGCCATATCTCTCTCTCTTGGAGGCCCATATCAATATTGGAGATCAATTCCCATACCCTCAAAGGATGGGTATTATGTCCTCCTTCCCTCTCTTATAAAGATATCATTTTCTTTCTTCCCAAGAAAGACAATTTTCTATTTCCCATAATCCCCTAATTTTTTAAAAAAATATAGGTATGGTGATTTAGCTATCACCAAACCCAACATTTCAGATGGTTAGAAAGTCAGTTAATGGACACTGCTAAACTATATACATATCTCAAAAAAAACTAAAAAACCTTACAAATAAAGCCCAATTACAAAGCTCAGTTCAATTGCAAGTGATTTAGGTCTATCAAAGGACATGACATGAATGTCAGAAGAAAATTCGTGTAGGTGACCCGAAATAATTGGGATAAGGCTTGGATAATAATAATGAAAGGAGATGACATTGATAAAAGAAACCAACTTCCCAAATCAAAGAAGCAGAAATAAGCGAAAATACATTCTATAAAAATGGATACCAGAGAAAGAGTTTACAGAAAATACCACACACACACACAGAGAGACAGAGTCTCACCTCATGCTTGTCTGTGTCTAAACCAGTGCACCTGGCCAAATAAAAGTAAGAGTTTGGAGATTTTGACAAGGCAGATTGTATTCGATTAACAGGCTCAGCAACCGATCTGAATTCCAAAGTTCCAACACAAGTGGAAGCAAGAAGAGGAGTAAAAACCATGTGATTTCGAGGAGAGATACAGACTACATCATAAATCTTCGTATCGACTCCTTTAAGAAATCGACAACCTGCCCATCCAGTTCCTAAAACCACAATCCTAGGCTTCTCACCAGGCTTTGTGGGATCCAATCCAGGAAGTTTCTTCTTTTCCACCCCTGTGTCTCTCTCATCCTCTTCACCGTGATATTCCACTACCCTCTCCGCTGAAGAAGACTGGAAATGGATAGTAGTACTTATTTCCCTTCTCCCCAAGTTTATCTGATCTCCGGCTAGAAAACCATTTAAATTCGGTCTCCATAGCTGAGTATTCGGATTCTTTCTCTCTCTAGAATGCACCAATGAAGATAAATAGCGGTCACTAAAAGATGAACCAGTACAACATGTACCACTTTGCTGTATAGAATTCCCAATTACTCTGCCTAATCCAGAATAGGTATCTAGAGATTGGCGCAAGCCGGTTTTCAGAAGCCTTGCCATGAAAGCAATGATGGGTCTCAAACCAAAAATCCTATTGAGTTTTTTGCGCCTTTCAGACAACCTGCATAAAATGAGATTTCACCATTGTAAGACTACCAGAACTTCGAGATCCAGAGAGAGAGAGAGAGAGACATAGAGAGAGAGAATGAGAAATGCAAGTTTTAGAAGAGATTTGAAAAGAATTAAAACGAAAATGGCAGCTTACTTTTGATCTTCGAAGTATAGACTTCAAAGTTGCGGACTTGCAGTATAGAACTTCAATCAATAAGCTTCTGGATCCTACATGAGAGGAGAAGGAAGAAGTTAATGCATGCCCATTGATCTCAGGAAATTTCAAAATAATCACAAGAAAAATAGACCTGCAAGCTCCTCACCTATATAGATTGCTAAATTGCAGAAGACGACTAAATTGAATCAATAACAATACAAGGAAGTTAGAGAGAGAGAGACATCGAAAGTGGGGCATGCGTATACTAAGTTGTTAGAGAGAGAAAGTCAGATCGAGCAGGGCCATTCCAGTTTATGTGGAAAGTGGAGAGAGAGTTTTCCAATGGAGAAAACGTGGGGTGGCGTTGTATGGTGTAAAGTTTCCAGGTGTAAAATGCGTGACAGGCAGGTATGAATCTGTAACTCTCTTATAGAAGCCACCAGAAAAAATCATGCTTAATATCGCACTGCATTTACTTTTGGGTGCGGTTTATACAAAGCCGTGGCTCTAAACAATCGAAGTAAAGTGCACCTTCAATCGGAGTAAAGTGCACCTTCAACTAGTGTCGAGAAATGTGGTTTGATTATGGGAAAACTTTGTGTCAGCCCTAAAATATATTTTTTATCTTTAATTGTAAAATTTAAAGCTTCAACAATCAGGGTAGATTGAACAGATGTAAAAGCTTGAAAATCTTAAAATTTGGAAGTCCAAATATGTGTTACAAGATACACTATTTTTAATATTTGAAATCTATTTATTTCTCATGTACTTGAATCTTGATATTGAGATGATCAATTTGAAGACAATTGAACATCAAAACAACCTCTAATGAAATTTTTTGGATAGACTCTAATTTGAGCCCCTATATAAACTTTTTCCTCTATTTTTTGAACAATGTTTTTTAGAGCTCCGATTCTATGGAAATTACCGGACTTTAAATACTAGGTTTGTATACAATAAGACCATTTACCTTTGATACTGAAAGGTCACAACTACCGACAACCATCCAATGTGAAATCTGATAGTTTTTGTATCAAAAAGTTTGAAAAAAAAAAATTTGAACTTTGCAGGTCAATGAAATAAATAAAGCCACCCAATTTTATATCCAATAGTCAAGATTAGCACCCACCACCTAGCACCAAAGGTAAATGACCTCATTATATACTTTCCCTTCGATACTAAAGCAATCCCCCCTCAACACAAGAGTGCAAGTGTGCAATTTGGTCCGGCAAGAACACAATTTTGGCACCTAAAAAAGGTTAGGCGGTGAGGTAGTCAAAAAAAAGTAAGCATCCGGAGAACAATTAGGGTCGTAAAACGGCCAACAAACAAATATCAAAATGTGTTAAAGGAAAATAGGAAACCCAAAAGTAACCTCTAATACGCTGTTAGAAACTAACCAGGAGTAAAGGCATGTTCGATGTTTCCAATAAAAATTAAAGGCTGTTTTTTATTTTATTTTATTTTATTTTGGGGTAAATTGGTATCAGGAAGAAGATGCTGGATTGAGTGGATTCCATTGTGATCTAATTTTAATTTTAAACCCAAAAATGGAAGATGCCCGCTACTTCCAACTTGATGCTCCTTCACAACCAAAGACAATACCATGGGGAGAGAGAGAGAGAGAGAAACTATTAAATTTATGAGAAAAGCAATCTCACCGAAAAATGACAAAAATTAATAAGTTACTGATGGCGCTCGAGTAGATATCACAAATTTATATTTTACATAGGACTGTATCTCTATCATTCAATGAAGAAAACATATACTTAGTCTCTCACTAAATCAACTTTGTTTTGAAACTTAATTCGGCTTTTGCCAAATGCCCAAAACCAAAGGATTTACAACTTATCTTTTCTTGAAACTAGAAGGAGGAGAACGAGTAAAAAAATTTCAAAATGGAAAAAAAATACGAGCATCTCTTTAAAAATAATGTATTTTTAAAAATACAGAAGATTTAGGTGAAGATTCAAATAAATTTAGGTTAAAGTTTGTAGCCAATATGGCATTAATTCTCCTGCTAAAACGCATATGTAGAAAAAACAACCCACGAACAAAAGAAAATAACTTTTGAGATTAAAATGTTGATTAACCGGAATTAATTCGACTTACCTCAAAAGGACCGGGTTGTTATTCTACAAAGAAACAAGACGAGGTCTCCTCAACTCTTTCTGCAACTCTTTCTAGGCCTTCAAAACCTCCTTAAATCCCCAAATGAACTTCACTAACCTGCCTTGCTGAACACGGCTCGGAGAACCCACGAAGAAACAAATGAAATATTTTGAGAAGGTTATCTTAAACTTAATTTTTTTAAAAAAAAAATCGTGAGACTTGCAGGAACTTTTCTATTAAAATATCATATTATACATGGGTTAAAGTAAAGAACACATTTTTTCAATTAAAAAATGTGTAAAATAGAAAAATAGCACTGGGAGTGGCCCCTTTCATGGAAAAATCCCCATCTTTAAGGATTCTAGTGTTGAGGCGGTGGAGAAGACTGACTCAAAGGAGACTTTTTTCAATGGGAGATGGACTAAAGTACCCTTAACGTTTTGTAGAAACGCCCATGTTATCCTTTATGGGAAAAATAACCGTCTTGTGCTTTCCTTCAAATAGTAAGATTTTCCCTCCTAGACAAAGTCAAGAATAAATTTTTTTGAAGGAAATTTGTTTCATGTGGGACTGTATGTGCGGTCCAAAAAGTGTAAAGCATTCAGTGTAAAGCATTCATCTTAAAGATGAATACAAGTAGATGTTTTATTTAAAAACAATGGAAACTAACAGATCAAATGTTTTTTTGCTAGAATTATTATTTTTAGTTTTTTAAAATTTATTTATTTTTTTATATTCATGATCTCCATATTAAATATTACATGTCTTTAAAAATTCAGTCTAAGAAGCTATCTCAAAAATAGATTTATTAATAGGCCCGCATTTCTATATATACAGGCTTGGCCGCATAAAAACCGGATCCTTTTATGGGTCATTTTATGAATCCTTGTTATGAGTTTTAATCATCTAATTCTATGTTTAACGGCTAAAAGTGATTGTGATAGTAGTTTAACAGTGGGATCGAAAACTTGGATGATGTTGTGCACTAGTATATCATATATAGAGTGAAATCCATATATATTATTTTATGTGGGCTGCCAAGATGGGCTGATTTTGTGCTCATGGATTATAAGGCATTGAAGGAGCTTATTATATTTTCCATCCATAATGAGCATCGACAAACATACAACATGCATGATTGTGCATTGCATGGCACAGTAGTAGTGTTTAGAAACACAAAATCGGGAACCCGAATCGCTTCCTTGCTTGATTGAATCGTCTGACTCGAGGAGATCGGATAGAAAGAAATTTAAATAACAGTAATATAAATGAAAATGCGTGGGAATTGAGTGACTCCAAGAATTTTAATGAACCAAATTGCCTACCCACCAATCTCAGATTTCTATTTAACGATTTTAATTCGGATCGATAATTTTTGTAACACTATACCAATATATTTCATTTGCGACAAGCTGGAGGAAGTAATTTACATGAAAAAGAGGGAGTAATGCCGGCGGAAGGGGGCGATGCGAATGAACGGTCTACTTGTAGTTGATCCGAATATGCTCTAGCCGTCATTGAAGAACCAAATTGCCCAGACTTGCAAATATGCGATCGGTTGGTGACGTATGCTTTTTCATTTTCGTTACATAAAAATTGGGGCTCTGAGCTACATCCATTGGAGCTTTTTGTCGTAATAAAATAAACGTCAGATTAGTCTTAAACCCTGAGCTATATAGATTGGGGCTTTATGTTCTTTTTGACGTAATGGCCCTTTTCCACAGCATATTCCCGGAACTCGGTAGAATCTCCCAATGTTTGACAACTATTTATTAACTAATGACGGAGAGACCGAAATGAGAAGGGAAAATGGAATAGGAAAGCTCGCTTTAGTTGACTCGATTTGGAATCGGATTATCTCGATTGGGTATCGATTGATCTGTTTTGGTTTCATATAAAACATGGATTATGCAATTCCGGTTCGTTATTGTAGGAACCACTATTGAAAAAACTAGGCGATCTAACCGCAAACCATCTTGTTAAATTGGAATTGGCAACTAGCTGGTTTCGGTTTAGGTGGTTTTGGTGAACAATCAATATTTAAAAATATATATATATTTAAATCTTTAAAAATAAAGAATTTGATTTGTAATGTATTTTTTATTATTTTTTACATTAGGGTAAAGATTAAAATTTGTTTTGGCTACTGATACTCACTTTTATATTTTTTTTATTTTTTTCAAAAAAATTTAAAAATACCCATATGTACAAATTGATTTGTTTATGAACCCATGTCCAATTTACCGTTCTGGTTAGATTTTGATAGGGACCGGTTCCGTTTCGGATTCATGGTTTATGGGATCCACCATGCGTACCCCAAATCTCGGAGTCAAATCGAGCAGGCTTGGAGTGAATTTCCTGAAAAACAGACATTTTTTTCGAATAACGTTAAGATTTCCCCCACGTGAGGCTGAGAGACTTGTCTCAATTTGGGAGGTTTTCGCTTATTTTCTTAATTTTTTTTGAATTTTGGGTGTAGCCATTTTAGGATGCCTTGTACATAAAAAAAATCAAAGCGTCCAGCGAAAGTTTTTACACGAAGTAAAAGAGAAGGATATGATTGGACAAAGCGAAAATGTCATGGACATTGGGTTTGTTATAAGCCTTGTACCATATATATTATATACAATAATATATATGGAGTATATAATATATATGGAGCAATTAACACGTGCCCGAAAGTACTGAGAGCGAGGTCCGGGCATACTGGATATTCTTGGCACGTGGAACGAGGCCATGTGAAGTGTGATCGCCAAATTATTATTTTAATTTTGCTTTTTTGCAGTCGCGTACGGCGGTATTATTTAAGTTACTTTGATAATTGTTTTCCGTTGAAATGTTTATGTTATTTTCATAAGTAATGGTTCCATGAGACCCTTCGAAATCTAGATGGGATTACCATTAAATATGTTTTTAAAATTATTAAATTTTATAATTATATTATAATTTTTTTAAATATATGTAAAATTTAACGACAATCCTTTAAAATTCTACATGAATGCCGGATCCCATAAGATCATTATCCTATTTTCCTCGACAAAAGCGGTTGCCCACATGCTTATTTCGCAAGACCATGGTCTCAACATATGACGCCTACTAAACGCAAAACACCATTAGCCAAAGTTAAGAACTAAAACGACATATATATAACTATTTTGGAATGGTACGAACGGTTTGGAAAATTTGGACCGCCGAATCCAGACCCAGTAATATACTTCTCCCAGGTTATTGATTTATGTTTTTTTTTTCCAAAGAAAAAATTAGCGTGTTTTGTATTATATTTAGGGAATAATTTATTTAAAGTTACAATTTTAAAATG